GGATTCCAAAAAAATTGGGACATTAAACAAATTGTGAATAAAAACTGAATGCAATGATGTGGAGATGGCAAATGTCAATATTTTATTTGTAATATAAAATAGATGACAGATCAAAAGTTTAATCTGAGTAAATGTAACATTTTAATGGAAAAATAGGTTGATTCAAAATTTCACAGTGTCAACAAATCCCAAAAAAGTTGGGACAAGTAGCAATAAGTGGCTGGAAAAAGGAAATTGAGCATAAAACGAACAGCTGGAAGACCAATTAACACTAATTAGGTCAAGTGACAACAAGATTGGGTATAAAAAGAGCTTCTCAGAGTGTCAGTGTCTCTCAGAAGCCAAGATGGTAAGAGGATCACCAATTCCACCTTTGTTGTGCAGAAAGATAGTGCAGCAATACCAGATTGGTGTTACCCAGCGTAAAATAGCAAAGACTTTTAAGTTATCATCATCAACCGTGCATAAGATCATCAAAAGATTCAGAGAATCTGGAACAATCGCTGTGCGTAAGGGTCAAGGCCGTAAAACTCTACTGGATGCTCGTGATCTCCGGGCCCTTAAACAGGAATGCCCCTGTCAAGGAAATAACAAAATGGGCTCAGGAATACTTCCAGAAAGCATTGTCAGTGAACACAATCCACCGTGTCATCCGCCGTTGCCAGCTGAAACTCTACAGTGCAAAGAGGAAGCCATTTCTAAGCAAGCTCCACAAGCTCAGACATTTGCACTGGGCCAGGGGTCATTTAAAATGGAGTGTGGCAAAATGAAAGACTGTTCTGTGGTCAGATGAGTCATGATTTGAAGTTCTTTATGGAACACTGGGACGACATGTCATCCGGACCAGAGAGGACAAGGATAGCCCAAGTTGTCATCAACGCTCCGTTCAGAAGCCTGCATCACTGATGGTATGGGGTTGCATGAGCGCTTGTGGCATGGGCAGCTTGTGTGTCTGGAAAGGCACGATTAATGCAGAGAACTATGTTCAGGTTCTAGAACAACATATGCTCCCATCTAGACAAAAAATGAGACATGAAGGAGGCAGAAACATAACATAGCCCCACCTTTAAGGTCTGGCTCCAGACGAACCTCCAGGTTGGTCCGGGTGGGATCTGTGAAATTCCTGGATCAGGGTCTTGTCAAGAATGTTACGGGCTGGAACCCATAATCGTTCCTCAGGCCCATAACCCTCCCTTTCTACCAAGTAGTGCAGACCCCGACCCCACTGTCTGTAGCAGAGGAGTCTCCTGACGGTGAAAGCTGGGGCCAAATCAATGAGTTGAGTGGGAAGAGGGGGCCTGGAGGAAGGCCCAAAGTGTGAAGACACCAACGGCTTGACACGCAACACATGAAATGTGGGATGGATTCTTAGAGAACGGGGAAGTAATAGGTGGACAGCCACCAGGTTCACCAACTTAGAGATGGGGAAAGGACCCACAAAACGAGATGCCAACTTATGGCTGTCCACATGTAGGGGAAGATCCTTTGTGGATAACCAGACCTTCTGACCCACTTGGTAAGGTGGGTTAGGGATGCGTCGACGGTTGGCACTTTTAGCATAGACAGTGGACATCTTAATGAGGGACCTCCTACCTCTCCTCCAGGCTCGTTGGCACCTGAGAGCAGCTCTGTGAGCAGAAGGGAAACCAGCAATCTTGTCCTGGATGGTGAACACTGGCGGTTGGAACCCATAGACTGTGTAGAAAGGTGATAGGCCAGTGGTGGAGGAGGGTAGGGAGTTGATCGCATGTTCAACCCAGGGTAGATTGATTGACCACTTTGTCGGATCTTCCTCACATAATATTCTCAGCTTGGTCTTGGCCTCTCGTTCTGACCGTCAATCTGTGGGTGAAAACCAGAAGAGAGACTGACTGAAATGCCCCAGAGGTTACAGAACTCTCTCCAAAAGCAGGATACAAACTGGGGGCCTCGATCCGAGACGATGTTCGTTGGCAGACCATGAAGGCGATAAACCTCACGGACCAGGACTTCCCCCAACTCTTTAGCGGATGGGAGCTTCTTGAGTGGAACTAAATGAACCATTTTTGAAAAGCGGTCAACAATTGTGAGTATTACACTGTTACTGGAAGATAAGGGTAGTCCAGTGATGAAATCCATGGAGATGTGGGACCAGGGGCGTGAAGGTATGGGAAGCGGTCGTAAGAGGCCTGCAGGTGGTCAACAAGATGTCTTGGCCTGAACACACTGACGACATGATGAGAAAAACTCCTTGACATCCTTAACCCTGTCTCTCCACCAGAACTGAGCCCTCACCACTGCCAAGGTCTTACTGATACCTGGGTGACAAAAAAGTCAAGATTGATGGAAGAGTTCCAATACCTTTTTGACGTGGGCTTTGGGGACGAACACACTGCCCTTAGGACAGTCAGCGGGTGGTGGTTGGGTCTGATGGGCCAGTCTGATCTCCTCCTCCAGCTGTGTGATTGACAGTCGGACTATCTCGGGCAGAATGAAGTCCACCTCCTCGCTGGTCTGACTCTCGTTTGCTCTGTCCTGAACCCTGGACAGGGCATCAGGTTTTGTGTTTTTGGCTCCAGGTCTGTAAGAAAGTACAAAATCAAAACAGCAGAAAAACGGGGCCCACCTTGTTTGTCTGGGGTTCAATCTTTTGGCAGTCTCTAAGTACTCTAGGTTTTTGTGGTCAGTCCAGACTTTAAAGGGTTTGTTGGCACCCTCCAGCCAGTGTCTCCACTCCTCCAGAGCCAGTTTGACGGCCAACAGTTCACGTTCCCCAACATCATAATTACGTTCTGCTGCTGATAGGCTCCTGGAGAAAAATGCACATGGGTGGATCTTTCCGTCGTAAAGACGCTGGCTGAAAACAGCACCTACCCCTGTGTTGGAAGCATCCACCTCCACGATGAACTGCCGATTAGTGTCAGGAGAACAAAGGATAGGAGTGGAGGCAAACATGCTCTTCAGTTTGCAGAACGTGGTCTTGGCCTGTTTGTTCCACAAGAACTTGTTCTTAACTGAGGTGAGAGCATGCAAGGGAGCAGAGATCTGACTGTAGTTTCTGATAAAAATTTGCAAAACCGAGAAACCTCTGCAACTGTTTTCTGTCCTTTGGGGTAGGCCAGTCAAGTACTGCAGAGACCTTGGCATGGTCCATGGAAACCTGATTGGGTGAAATGTTAAATCATAGGAATGAAGTGGTGGTTTGGTGAAAATCACACTTCTCAGCCTTAACGAAAAGGTTGTTCTGTAGAAGTCTTAATAATACTGCCCTTACATGTTTCTTGTGGGTGTGCAAGTCCTTTGAAAATATGAGGATGTCGTCCAGATAAACAAAAACAAACTGGTTTACCATATCCCTTAGGACATCATTAACAAATGCTTGAAAGACAGCAGGAGCGTTGGACAGACCAAAAGGCATTACTAAGTACTCATAATGTCCTGTAGGTGTATTAAATGC